GAAGTGATCAAAGCCATAACTGAAGGGACAGAGACACAAACGTCTGTGGGAGATAAAGAGTTGAGAACATTGTTGACGCAGAGAGAATGCCTACGGATGAATATTTATGGAATGCTAACGTGGCGAGAAAATGACGGAAGCTGGTTGGCAGTGATTCCGAAATGTCTTCGCGACAAAATGATTCAAGAATGCCACCAGTTAGCTCATACAGATGTCTCACGGACAGCTGACCTTCCAGACAAAGTACATACTGTCCAGGTATGAGAGAGGATATTGTCAAATACGTGCTGGGGTGTCCTCATTGTCAACTGATGAAAGGTGATCGGTATGTACGGCCGCCACTGCAGTCGATTCCAGTAGCAGCGGTTGGTGACCTGTGGTCGGTGGACGTAATGGGACCATTTCCGCAGACGTCTAGTAGCAACCAATACCTGTTGGTGGTGACGGAGCATGCTACACGATGGGTAGATGCTGTCGCGATACCTGATCAATGCGCGAAGACAGTGACCGCAACGGTGATACGGCATATTATCGCGGATCACGGTGTACCGAAGAAAAAAATGACCGACCAAGGTCCTTGTTTTGAGAGTGAAGAATTTAAATCCTGTTTGAAGCAGCTTGATATCAAGAGGATAAGAACGACGCCGTACCACCCGCAGACTAACGGTTTGACAGAACGGAATAACCGTACACTGAAGGAGTGGCTACCTTCGAAAGAAGGAAATTGGGAGACGGAACTGCCGTTGGTATTATTAGCTCATCGTGCCTCGGTACAAGGAACAACCAAGAAGTCGGCGTTCCAGTTAATGTATGGCAGGAAACCACGGCTCCCGATACATAGTAAGACCTAGCCCCAACAACAGCCTTGGAACATGACAAGATTGAGAGAGGAGCGAAAACAGGCTATCAGGAATGTGGAACGAAAACAGAAGGCTGATACTGAAAAATCTGAGCAGAGAAAAGGAAGTAAATGGAAACCATTGAGGTTGGAGATCAGGTGAAATGTTAAGAACGAGGATATACGTCAGGAGG